TCAGCTGAGCTCATGGCATAGATCTACGGTTTGGACCCTCAACATAAAGCCGTAGATCTACGGCATGGACCCTAAAAGGGTTAACCCTTTCAGGGTTTCGGCCGTACTAGTATGGCTTACACCCCAGGGTTTTTGACGTACTAGTATGCCTAAATTCTAGTGCCCTCAAATCTAGTGAGAGAAAGCTGGTAGGCCTACATATGAAAGAATGGGTCTGTGGTCGGTGTGCGCAGTATAAAAAAAATCCTGCAGCACACAGTGCGAATGAAAAAAACAAACTTGACCGTTGTTTATGGATTAAAACAGGCGACTTGCACTGTGATTTTTCGTATGTATTTTTTGTTTTATCTAGTTTTCTTGTCTCATTTTATAGAATGGAAGACATATTACAGAAATGAGATGATTCTGACTGGCTACAATGAAAAAGTACCTTGAAAAATGAAGCTCATCTAAAGTAGCAGAAATGTTCATTTTTTACGAAAGTTCAATAGTTAAACAAATCATGCCAGCACCAATACACGTCAACTGGTGAGTCAAATATTCTTCACAAGTGCGCTGAAATATTAACCATATCCACATTATTGCAGTAGTCTCTGCTAACAGTAAATATTCTAGTTTTTGTAAGAATAAAAATTCAAAGAGGAAAGCAAAGAAATTTAAGAGGGCCCCCTGGGGATTGTGACAACTAACATAGAAAACTTGGTATTTTAGTGCCAGAATTCCTTTTCTTGTTTATTCTGTAACCCTAATCGGAAACTGGCATCTTTTTGAAATTTGTGTGACATTGGCAAAATTCTTAAATTCCTGACCATTTATTGATTTTGAAATTGGTAAATGGTTTGTTTCTTGTACTCATTCGATAGAACAAAATGGATTCTAGCGACATATGAGGGCAAATTTCTAGGCCTAAACTCGAACAACACCTGAATTTCAGCACCCATATCCAACACATATCAAAAAAAGTATCCAAAACATTTGGATCCTCTCCAAATACGATACTATGTGCCGCAAAAAAGCCCTTCTCACACTATAACCAACACCATTTACCATGCCTCACACATATGGCTATTTGTGCTTGGGGAATCAACTGCAGCAATACAACCTAAAGCCAATAATAAATCAACAAAAAGCTGAAATAAAGAATAATCACTAATTCCCCCATCCCTGGCAACACCCCCCCCCCACTCCTCATAATCTATAACTTACTCCCTGTTTCAGAACATCCACACTTACTACTGTGCAATCTACATATAACAGGACCTTAACATTCCAATATTTAACCTTGACCTAAAAATGCTTCTTGATAGTTGTGACAGGACCCACAGCTTTAAGTGTGTTGTGTGTGCGTGGGTGGGGTGTTTGTGGTTTTTGGTGTGTTAGGTGTGTGTGGTGTAGGTGTGGGGGTGTGTGGTGTGGGTGTGTGTTGTGTGTGGTTGTGTAGGTTTTTGGGTGTTTGGTGTGGTGTGTGGTTGGGGTGTTTTGGTTGGTTGTGTGTGGTTGGTGTGTTGTGGTTGGTGGTGTGTGTGTTGGTGGTGTGTGTGTGGGGGTGTGTGGTGTGGTTGTGTGTGGTGGTGTGTTGGTGTTGTGTGGGGTGTGTGTGTGTGTTGGTGTGTGTGTGTGCGTATGTGGTTTTAGGGTGTGTGCGCTTGCATGCGCACACAATTGCATGCGTGTGTTGCACTCACAAATTGGGGTTGCATAGGCAAGTCACAGCCCCTGGCCCGCCTCTTAATTGGTCACTACTAGGTTTCCCCTCCCCTGCCTATGAGTTTTTCCCAAACCCTCTTAATTTTAAAATTAATATGTATGGATTCTGCTTCCACTACATCACTTTCCAACTATTCCACTTCCTGACTGAACAAAACTTCCTAACACCCCGTGGCTCATCTATCTTCAACTTCCAATTGGACCCCTTTTTGCTGTGTCCCATCCGGAACACCCATGTCTTGTCAATTCCTCTTAATCCAAAAAAAATGAAAATTCTACCCCCCCTTCTCCTTTTTTTTTTTGCCGTCATTTTTAGTAAAAACCCAGTATTTTGTGCACAGGATTTCCATTCCTGAAATTGTGCTGGTTTCATAATAAGCCATTCCTTTCTTGGGCCCACCACTTTCTCCTGAAAATCTTCCCATGACTGGCATACTATGACTTAAGAAATCGAAAAGAAAACGATTGCAAATAAACCTCCCCCCGGCCGGGATTGAACCCGCGGTCTAGAGTCTCAAACTCCGCCCGTCGCGTAGCCCTAGACCAGCAGCCACAATAAATTCACCAAACTAGGTATACAGTGGACCCCCGGTTAACATTTTTTTCTTTTCCAAAGTATTCCAGGTGCCATACTGACCGAATTTTTCCCTAAGGAATATGTGAAGTAGATTTTTCCATTTCAGACCCACAAACATACACTAAAACGCATTACATAAATACACTTTCATAATTGTCGCATTCGGGGGAATCGTTTGCGGGTCCACTGATTTCTAACCCTAGGGAAGGTTTGCACAGGGACCCTGTGACCACAAATGCAAATTTTTACAGACAACTCCACTAGGGGGCCTGACGAACTCTAGCTCAAGCCCTTCACTGCCTCAACATACTTAAGAAATCGTAAGACACAATTGCAAATAAACCTACCCCCGGCCGGGGTTGAAACCCCGGGCATAGAGTACAAAAATCCAGCCCGTCGCGTTAGCCCTAACCACTAGCCACAAAAATTCTCCCTCTTATGTGGCTAGCTGGTCAGTGGCTAACGCGACGGGCGGAGTTTTGAGACTCTATGACCCCGGGTTCAATCCCGCCGGGGTATGGTTTATTTGCAATCGTGTCATTACATTTTTTAAATCATGTTTTCGGGAGTGAAGGGACTTGGCTAGAGTTTCGTCATGGGCCCCGCTAGCGGGGAATTCGTCTGTAAAAACTTGCATTTGTGGCACAGAGGTCCTGTGCTAACCTTCCTTGGTGAGAAATATACCTATTGGAAATCTTATTGGGCTAGCTGGGCTAGTGGCTAACGCACGGGGTGGAGTTTTGAGACCTATACCTGGGTTTTTAACCCGGCCCGGGGTATGGTTTATTTTCAATCGTGTCATTACGATTTCTTAAGTCATGTTGACGGCAGTGAAGGGACTTGACTAGATTCGTCACGGCCCACGCTGCGGAGATTTGTCTGTAAAAACTTGCATTGTGGTCACAGAGGGCCTGGCTAACCTTCCATGGTAAAATATACCATTGGATGAATCTTTTTGTGGCTAGCTGGTCTAGTGGCAACGCCGGGCTGGGTTTTGAGACTCTATGACCGCGGGGCAATCCCGGCCGGGGGTAGGTTTTTTTTGGGAAAACATACATGTCAGGACACTGTCGTAGTTTAATCTGTGTGTCTGTCTCCTTTCTTTTAAATTGAAACTAAATTGCTGCTTCCCCCCTTTGGGAGTCCCCTGTTTCAAAGTGTGTTGAAATTTTTGCTATGGACCAAAAGAGAGCCTTCCTTCCCTCCCAGGACCCTTGGGAAACGTCCAGCCCCATCACCTTGAGGATCTAGTTTCTTGGGCAGCCTCTTTACCTCCCCCGGTTTTTTTATTTTTCAAAGCACTTTATGGTTACCCCCCCATCGGCTTTCTGGGGCCTTTCTGTCCCATACTGAAATACATCCTTAAATCCATTTAGCCTTCAAATATTCAATCATTTCTTTGACTCCACTCCTTCCTTCCTCGCCCCGATTACCTGGGCCTTACTGCTTTTTCCTCCATGACTGTACAAAAGCTTTGGGGCAGACTCGGCTTTTTTCTGATAGTCATTTTCGATTTGGGTCTTTAAATAAGCTCCCATTTTTGGGGTCTTTCGTGGGGGTTTCAAGTGTGCTGCCCTGCGTGCGTGCATGTTCACATTAGCAGTAAGTAGATACCTGGGTGCACTAAGGTATCTACTTACTGCTAAGTGAACAAGGATAGTCAGGTGTAAGGAAACATGCCCAATGTTTCTGCTCAGGTTGGCCGGGGATTGAGCACCTTGGACACTCATGGAATGGACACTCATCGTTATAAAAGCTTATGCTTCATCAGATGTATAACAAACATTGTGTAATAATAAGTCCCTTACCTGTATAAGCAACAAACCATGCATAACACACATAGCTTATATGTATAACACACACATATTTAATAGCATTACCTAATAGAAATAATCCAATGACCATAAGAAACTGTTACGGCACTACAGATCATTGATTTGATTTGATTAGATCTGATTTATAAATTTATATGACTACATATAAGTAAATTGATTCATTTTGTTATATTATTCACTGTGGAGAGATACATGATTATATACACTGGAAAACCTAGAGGGACTAGTAAAACCGGAACTGCACACAATACACACACTACGGCAGAACGTATGCACCATCCCCCCAATGAAAAGCAGGGGTTGTTCATAGCACGTTAAGAGACCATACAATAAGTGTCAGGGGCCCGAGACTGTTCAACTGCCTCCCAGCACACATAAGGGGGATTACCAACAGACCCCTGGCAGTCTTCAAGCTGGCACTGGACAAGCACCTAAAGTCAGTTCCAGATCAGCCGGGTTGTGGCTCGTACGTTGGTTTGCGTGCAGCCAGCAGCAACAGCCTGGTTGATCAGGCTCTGATCCACCAGGAGGCCTGGTCACAGACCGGGCCGCGGGGGCGTTGACCCCCGGAACTCTCTCCAGGTAAACTCCAGGTAAATGTTACAAAATTGTAAAACTATTATGCTTCAAAATTGAAATGTTCAAATTTCATTGTTTAAAATACTCAATTGTACTTGATATTGTAAACTGTTTACTGTAACTATTACCATTAAATCTATTATAGCTTAGATAATCTTAAGTTAATTTTAAGCCTGCCCATAATGCTCTGCATACAAGGGGCTTTTGACATGTACACCCAACTACTAGAATACCTTGTACAACTATGTATCATGCCCTAATAAACTATTGTTATTAATATTATTATTATATGTATGTCTTACCTGTATAACACACACAGCATAAGTGCTTCCTAGGATGGAGTGTGTGTCAGAGAGACAGCAGTACCTCACACTTGTTGACACAAGAAACAGATCAAAGGCATTTTCTTTAGAGATATCACTCTTTCCTGATTTGAGATTTTTCTCCAGTTTCTTTCAGTGTTTTCCGGCTCTGCCTGAGGAGTAGAAAATAAGAAGGCAATTTAATTAAAGCAGGTATTATTGAGGAACTTAAGTGAATAAGATAACACACAATATGCATAATGGAAAAAAAAAGTCTCCAGGGTCCAGAGGCCAAATTTCAAAGGGTGCACCAGTGTCCAAGAATTTTAAAACAATAATTTTTTTTATTTTTTCTTATGAAATGGTAGAGAAAACTTTTTTCTGAAGGTAATAAAACAAAAAGTTCACGAATTTTGATGAAAAATTATATGAAATATGCTGCATCGCGAATTTTGATGTTCAGCGATATTTATGCCATCAGCGATTTGCCCCAGACTTTGAACCTCCCCATTTTAGGGCACTTACTTAATCCAGTCGCGCAAATTTCTTAGTTATTATCACTATTATTACTCTATCTATCGACGAGGCACAAGAAATCGCAACGTACACTGCTTCAACTACAAAATAAAGTGACTGGAAATTGGTAATTTGGCCATTAGTACAAATTTCAAAATAAATTATTTCAAAATAGGGTCCAGAATAAAACAAAGCAGGCATTCCTTTCCTGGCACTAAAATAACATTTCATCTATTCATTAGTTATGTTTTCAGGCTTTACAGATGAATTCCATTTTGATTTTTAATTCACATAATAAACTTTTATTCAAACCAAAAAATAGAAGATTTACTGTAATGCAATATTGTACATTAAAATGGTATAAAATACCGACAGGTTGTTAGGTAAGACACATATGCAACAGTTAGGTATCTTTATTGTGAAACGTTTCGCCTATACAGTAGGCTTCTTCAGTCGAGTACAGAAAAGTTGATAGAAGCAGAAGATACTTGAAGACTGATTACATCGTCTTCAAGTATCTTCTGCTTCTATCAACTTATTTCTGTTACTCGACTGAAGAAGACCTACTGTGTAGGCAAACATGATATCACAATAAAGATACCTAAACTGTTCCATATGTGCTCTTACCTAACAATGCAATAATTGTAATGAATTATAAAATAATATCAGCACATTTGTGAACATATATTAGACCCCCACCATCTGCGTGTATTAGACGTATGATGCCATTTTGTTTACTTCTTGAACAATCGGTAAAAATATAAACATTTCTGCTACTATGAGCTCAGTTTCAAGCCATTTTCAGTACAAACCAATCCAAAATCCTCTCTTATTTTCTGTAATATATCTTCCATTTTTAACAAATGTGACCAAGAAATTGCAAATCAACGTATAAAAAACATAACGAAAAAAACACTGCAAATTTGCTGTTTTAATCGAAAAATACGGTCTCAGTTTTTTTTTATCAATATGCACTGTGTGCTGCGGATTTGTTTATGTGGGTGCACCCATACCACATAGAATTTATTCTCTCATACTAGGCCCAAATTTAACCCGCCCACTAGCTTAACAGTGCAGCTGAGCTCAGGCATAGATCTACGTTTGGACCCTCAACATAAAGCCCGTAGATCTACGGCATGGAACACTAAAAGGGTAACCCTTTCAGTGGTTGCGGCCGTACTAGTAGTGGCTTACACCCCAGGTTTTTGACGTACTAGTATGCATAAATTCCTAGTGCCCTCAAACTAGTGAGAGAAAGCTGGTAGCCTACATATGAAAGAGATGGGTTCTGTGGTCAGGTGTGCGCAGTATAAAAAAAATCCTGCAGCACACAGTGCGTAATGAGAAAAAAAAAACTTTGACCGTGTTTTTTGGATTAAAACAGCGACTTTGCACTGTATTTTCGTATGGTATGTTATTGTTTTATTCAAGTTTTTCTCTTGGTCTCATTTATAGAATGGAAGACATATTTACAGAAATTGAGATGATTCTGACTGGTTTTTACAATGAAAAAGTACCTTGAAATTGAGCTCAAAAAAAGAGCAGAAATGTTCAATTTTACGAAGTTCAATAGTAAAACAAATCATGCCAAGCATCCAATACACGTCAACTGGTGAGTCAAATATTCTTTCACAAGTGCGCTGATATTATTTATACCATTTCCACATTAATGCAGTAGTCTGCATAACAGTAAATATTCTAGTTTTTGTAAGAATAAAAATTCAAAGTGGAAAGCCAAAGAAATATAAGAGGGGCCTGGGGATGTGACTAACTAACAGAGAACTTGTTATTTTAGTGCCAGGAATGTCTTTCTTGTTTATTCTGGACCCTATTCGGAAACTGGCATCTTTTGAAATTTGTGTGAAATTGGCAAAATTCTTAAATTCTGACCACTTTATTGGATAGTTGAAATTGGTAAATGGTTGGTTTCTTGTACTCATTCGATAGAACAAAATGGAGTTCTAGCGACATAATGAGGGCAAATTTCTAGGCCTATAACTCGACAACAACCTGAATTTCAGCACCCATATCCAACACATATCAAAAAAAGTATCCAAAACATTTGGGATCCTCTCCAAGATACGATACTATGTGCCGCAAAATGCCCTTCTCACACTATACCATTCACTCATTTATCCATGCCTCACCTATGCTATTTGTGCTTGGGGATCAACTGCAGCAATACACCTAAAGCCAATAATAACTCAACAAAAAGCTGAAATAAGAATAATCACTAATTCCCATCCCTGGCAACACCCCCCCCCACTCCTCATAGATCTAAACTTACTCCCTGTTCAGAACATCCACACTTACTACTGTGCAATCTACATATACAGGACCTTAAATTCCAATATTAACCTTGACCTAAAATGCTTTCTTGATAGTTGTGACAGGACCCACAGGCATAACACCAGACACAAACATCTCTACGACATTCCCCGTGTCCGACTAAACCTTTACAAAAACTCAATGTATGTCAAAGGCCCTAAAATCTGGAACACACTACCTGAAAACTCTAGAACAGCAGACACATTCATCACCTTCAAAACTACTGTTAGAAAACATCCTATCTCCCTGATACACCCCATCAACTAACTACATAAAAACCACCTGGTGGTCCATATTTACACTCACTCACTTACCCATTTGGCTATAAGCACAGAAATACGTATCCTAATCTTAAAATAATGATTCCAAACTAGTCATAAGTTTGCCTGTGATACTCCAATATAGAAACAATGTATTGTGCCAAAACAAAAGCATTCACATTGCTAAACTCACAAACTAGTATTTGTCACTTAGTATTTAGTCACTTAGTATTTAGTCAACTTACTCCACAATTTGTTTTAATTTAGGGTTAAGAATTAATCTAAGTTTGCCCGAAATGCCTAGCCATGCTAGATGTTCTAGTGGCCCCCTCTGTAATTAGTATTTTACTACATGTAAACCACACAATAACCAAAATCTGTAAACCCTGCATTGTAATCCTTAAAGAGAATAAACTTTGATTTGATTTGATTTGAAATAGTTATGATTTTTGTCGACTAGTACACTGGAATTGGCCGAAAATAGGACTCAAAGTGGGCAAAATCGCCGATGCGTAAACATCGTCGAGATCACTAACTTTGCGAGAGCATAATTCCGTAAGTTTTCCATCAAATTTCATACTTTTGGTGTCATTATGATCGGGAAAAGATTCTCTATCTTTTCATAAGAAAAAAAAATTTTTTTTTTTAACCCTTTGACTGTTTCAGGCCCCTCTCTGAAACTGTCATTCTATGTCGCTCAATTTTTGAAAAAAAAAAAAAAATTTCTTATGAAATGATAGAGAATCTTTTCCTGATGGTAATGACACCAAAAGTTCGAAATTTGGTCGAAAACTCATGGAATTATGCTCCCGCGAAGTTAGCGGTCTCGGCGACATATGCGTATCAGAGATTTTGCCGACTTTGAGCCCTATTTTCAGCCAATTCAATTGTTCCAGTTGACCAAACCCATAGCTATTTCTTTTGAACTCCATTTTATCTATCAGCTGAGTACAAGAAACCTCCCATTTACTAATTTGGACTACCCAATATGGTGGTCAGAAATTGGCAATTTGGCCAATTTCATGCAAACTAAAAAAGATGCCAATTTCAAAATAGGGTCCAGAATAAACAAGGTAGACATTCGTGGCACTAAAATAACATATGCTCTGTTCATTACTCACATCTCTAGGCCCCTCTTATATTATTATTGCTTTCTATTTTGATTTTTTATTCATACAAAAAATACAAAATTTACTGTTATGTAGACTACTGCATTATTGTAAAAATGGTATAAATAATATCAGTGCACTAGTGAAAGAATATTAGACTCCCCAGTTGACGTGTATTGGATGTGTGGTGTGATTTATTTACTCCTGAACATTGGTAAAAATTTAACATTTCCGCTACTTTGAGCTCAGTTTCAAGGTCGTTTTCATCGTCAAAGTAATGAAAATCATCTCTATTTCTGTAATATGTTTTCCATTTTATCACCTAAGACCATGAAAACACGAATACAACGATAAATACTATACGAAAATACACCTCAAAGTCGGCGTTTTATTCCAAAAAAACGATCAGAGTTTTTTTTTTCTCATTACGCAATGTGTGCTGCAGGATTTTTTTTATGTGGTGCACACTGACCACACAAGCGGGAGAAAGCTGGTAGGCTCACATGTGAGCCTACCAGCTTTCTCCCGCTTGATTTGAAGCCGCTAGAATTATTGAGTATATATACATCAGAAACATTGGCTTGTAAGACGTATTTATACATCGAAAACAGTCAAAGGGTTAAATTTGGGGACCCTGAGAACAAGTCTCGGAGAGGGCCTGGGGACCCTGAAAGGGTTAAACTATCAGTCAAAAAGGAAGTTACAGCGCATCAGTCCAATTATCGTTAACAAACTTTAATCTGATATACGCATTTGAAGTTCATTCTAATAATTGGCACCTCAAGCTTGAAAACCTCAGTTTCAGTTATATTTTGAAATTAAAAAAAAAACCAGTTCATCTTCCCCATTTAATCTTGGTGCAAATTAATCTTGTGCTTCCTTTTCTTCCTCTGCAGTTCAGTTAAATGATGTACTGTCAGAACATTGGCTTATG